TGAGCCTTCCAGCACTACTGCTTAATGTTAACAGGAGAGCAATGCAGACATAGGCAACACCACCTCCTCCTAGCTGACATGAAGACACAGAAGCATAAGTAGACAAAATAACGTTACCACGGTCGGAGTTACAGTGGAAGCTGGCCTGGAACCTACATCTTTTATCTTTGGCCTATACTAAATATAGTTCCATTCAAATGTATGGATACACTCTATAAACACTCACAAAATGCCTATGAAACATGAACATTTTAAAAGCACATTATTTTGTAAAGCTCAATCCACTACAAAAATGTTATTACAACTAGATCTACTTCATCAAAGCATTAAAGCCATGACTTTCAATATCAGCACTAATTTAAACAAATCTTTCTTGGAGCAATTGCAATGGGCTGGTAATAAGTTAATGGAGGCTTCTAGGTCACCTGGGATGCTGTTTACTGCCTGTACCTCCTGGGCCATATCCTATGGGCAAGCAGTCCATTGCCGAGCTTGCTGCAGCTTTGAAATATTTAATCTGTCAATTTATTCCAACTTGCATATTCCATATGCAAGAACACTTGTGCTTCCACATTCCTGTCAGGTGGGCTTCAGGATGCAATTTGGGCACAAAAAAAACTGCAATTAAGCAAAAGAATGGTACCATACAGACCAAGTTTTTGCGTCCTAATCTGATAACTGCCGCATAAATTACCTCCTGGAGGTAAGAAAAACACTGCAAGGCATCAAGATTCTCATTTCATAATTTGAGAAATGAAAAGAAACAAAGAAAATATATTTGAGCCAAAATAGTACACAAGAATTTCATTTTCAAATTAGACCATATTTGTAAGACAAAGCTATGCTCATCTTTGATATGCAAAGATAGCAATTTAACTGTTTGAAATCAGAAAAAAAACAGAAAAATAAACAGGCAGTTTTTCCCCTTCTCAGATAAATAAAACCCATAATTATCTATTCAAAATTCCCAATATAACGTATCCTCAATTCTTTCAAAATACCATTTGCCCTTCCAAGATATTTTTCTGGGTCTACAGCCTTTTCCTCTTCAGATCTGTTGCTCTTCCCTGTCACTGCCAGGTCACAACAGTTAAGACATTTAGGTGGCCAATGCCCACGGGAGAGGGTAGGTGCGAGCAGAAGACTATGTGAGTGTGAATGAATGGAGAGGACCTAATCACTTAACCTAAGGTAGAACAATCAGGATTATAAGAACTGAAGTTTCTTCTTTTGTAAAGTCATAAGTCTTAGGATAATGGGGCTAAAGAGTCCAAGCATTGCAAACAGCACTGCAAAGGGGTGTCATAAGGAATGCAGTGACCTCTACTGCTTATGTGATGGGAGGAATGGTTAACCTTTCTCCTCCCAGAGGGGAGTAGAAACAGCTGGGGAGAGCAAGACCTCTATACTCTGGAAGGTACAGGTCACAGGCACTGGAAATGACTCACGGTCTGTATTCAGGCACATGCCAGTAATAGGGTATAGGCAGCAAAACTTGGCTACACTAGACAGAAGACTGCCCTTTTCCTATTGGCCTGTCTTTCTACTTGTGTTAGTTGCTTGTTGATTCACCAACCTTAATTCCCCTCTGTCATATCCCCTAACATTTCCTTAAGTTCCGGAAATTAGGACCCTGAAATCTCTAGAAGACCACTGCTCCATTCATTTTCTTCCAGTTGCCGACACCATGGATGCAACAGGGAGATGTAACAGGTTTCTGCAAAGTCCTCTCCAGCAGGGTGGTTTCTGTTATTTTCTATGACAAAATTTCTTTTTTATGAAAGACAACCAAATCAACCTCTGTGACAAGCAGACAAAAGACAAAATGGGAGAATTTAGACTTGGCCTATTGGTTCATATCTTTTGTGGGTTTGTCAAGAGCTAATCCTATTATTAAAGCACACCAAGTTTCACCTAGACCTCTTCGTTCACCTTGAGTCTGATACATGCCTTATTTAATCATTGGCTCCACCTGGCTATGAAATACACATCTCAATCTTGTCCCAAAGAAACTGCAGACACTACTATTAAGCCACCTTTCATATATAACAACTTACTTCTCCTAAAATTGCCCTTTCAGAAAATAGTAACTCCTGAATGGGAAGTAGTTGATCAGATAAAAAAAAATTAAAAATTATCCATGGCTTCTTCTTTCCATTTCTCCAACCTCCAACCCAAAGGAATTCTAATTGATTCTACTTTCAAACTGTCAATTTCTGATGACTTCTAAGCACATTCAAATTAACCCATGTTATTTCAAATTCAAAGCTAGTCTTCCAAATCAATGAGAAGAAAGCCTGAAGCAATATATAGAGAAAATGATCAAAAACACAAAGAAAGTTCAGCAAATAAGTAGACAAGAGGAACTAGCCTGACAAAGAGAGAACACGGGACTTATAGATAAGCAAGCCTGGGTTTGAATGCCAGCTCCACCATTTTTTAGCGATCAGCCTCTGGGTAAGTGAGAGCTATCAGATCCAGAGAAGCTAATTGGGTCTGCCTCAGAAGGCAATCATTAGGATTAGGGAAGATATGTTTTCAAGTAGGTACTCAATAAATAATAGGCCGCTAAGATTATTAATAGGCTGTTTAAGTAAATTCTCAAGTTGGGAATCATTAGAACTACTGTTTCTGTTCAAAATGAAAAATCATTTACTTTTAAAAAGCTCACCTGTTAAAGGTCACAACATAATGTTAAAAATAGGGGAAGGGAGATGAAGTTTTTCAACCATTTCTCCTGTTGTGTAAGGGAATGGGCCTTACACAGGAGGCAGGAACAGACATTTGTCCTATGTGCTACACTTTGTGACCCATTCTAGACTTGAAAGGCACCACTAGTGGTGTAGAGCAGACCTAATGTATGTGACATTTGCCTGCAGCCATCTGGGCTGAGTAGTGCAGAAATGCCCTCCTATGTCCAGTCAAACTTTTTCAGGAGTAGAAGGCAATATATCTTTGAATGACATATAAACTGGTAGCAAAAACTATGCAGATACTGATTTATGAGAACTTGTATAGCAAGTAGTTAATAAATGTAGGATGATGATGAGGTGGAAAATACAAAACTAAAGGGCCTTGTACAAGTGTAAATATCCATAATCAGACTTTCATCTCTTCAGAAAAAAAGGTATATCACCACATTATTTCACTGAGATTACAGATTTATCAATAGCTTCACGGTTGTAAGCAGACCATTTGTTTGATGGGACACTACATTAAAACTCTAATAGCATCTTTACTTTATTAGCTCATTAGGAATTAAACAGTCTTTAGCATGAATTTGCAAGTTTAAAAAAGCTTATGAAGTTATTTTGTTAGAGAAATTAAGAGTTATTTCATTGGAAACCCTTTCATGCTTCTTGAATAAATGTCTCATGAACCACAATTCAACAAATGAATCAACATATACTTATTTGCTACCAAGTTAAAATAATGCTTCCATCGTGAGTTTTGCTGACATGATATTAGAGCTCCAGAGTTTAAGAGGAAGCCTTGTTCAATCTACTTCTCCATCTCTGTTACCAATCCCTTCCCTGCAACATTCATTCCACTTTTACCCACCACACTGCACTCAATATGGAGCCTTCCAGGCAGTCCTAAATGCCTCTACTCAGCCTAACAACATCCAAAGGGAATGAGGTATTGATCCTTCATTTTTGTTTCACCCAAACTCAAGAGGCGTCTGTTGTGATATGAATCAATATAAAGGTGGATATCAAAGTAACTTCTAATAAAATGTAGGAAAAAGGACAGCAGCCATCCATCCCATTTTCTAACTAGAGATCTAACATGTAGCTTTTACATATATTTCCATTTTTCCCTTGTTTCAAGTAACACACACACACATACACACACAGACACAGACACACACACACACACACACATACTCACAAAATATGTGCTTTTAAATAAGCTTAAGAAGAGTCTAGGTCAAGAAAGATTTAGTTTTCAAGATGGAAGATGTTGACTGTGTCTTACGGGAGAGGGCATAGATGCTTGGTTAGGGCAGAGAGTGAGTTTATGTCCCAGGTACTTTCATGATTTCATTAGAAACCCATTCAGCAAATTGCCTTACATATCCTGTTTTTTTAAAAAATCATTTTCCTTTCAGAAATTTTTATTTAAGTGTAACTAACCACTTGACAGCAAAAATTATTTGACTTCTATTCATTATATATATATATATACATATGTGTGTGTGTATATGTATATATATATAGAGAGAGAGAGAGAGAGAGAGCATTTCAGGATTCTTTTAGAATTTCTCATCCTTGAAACCTTTATATCTACAGTATTTCCTTTAAATTACATTGCAAAATGCCCAGTTATAAGGTATATACCAAATGTTCTTTTTACTTACTTCCAGCTTCAAATGAAGAAAGTCTGTCTGGCATTAGATAAATATCTTGAACATGGAAACATTTGAAATGTAGGTAGACAAAAACACCTGGAAATATCACTTAACCAATCCCAAAGCAACCACTCAGCAATAGATGGGTGAGCTGCTTAATAGACAAGAAGAAATAAAACTATCATACTAGGATGATAGAATCAAGAGAAATAAGCAGTAATTACTGTTTTGTCATCAAAGAAAGTAGTATCAAACCCGACTCAGTGAGAAGAGGGGAAAAAAACTCACAGTTGTACAAGTAAATACCCCCTTCCTTAAGATTAGGCTAAACACAATTCCGATGATGATGACAGCTAAAAATGTAGACTTAAACAAAAAGCAAGAATAGACATGAAAGGGGGCAGTACGAAAGGTGCCTTAGGTTCAGTGGGTGCATCACACTAAGAATAGGACATGGTCATTTGCTTGAGCAGCTTCAAAATACCAAGCCAGTCTCAAATCAGCTGTTTTTTAAGGATAAAGGAAGGACTCCTAGACTTGGTAATTCTTTGCAAATCACTGGTAACCTTAATTGGCTCACTTACTATGCAAGTGGTGCAGGCAGGCGTAATTAATTGTATCTGAAGCTTTAAGGTTGGGAGCAACTTACATCCTGTTGCTTGGAATAATCTTGTGGCCTTCTCTAAACCAAGTCACTTGAGGTCTGGGGCAGCTGGTGATGGGCAATAGGTTTAGAACTGCTGCGTGTCCTGGAGAAACTGTTTTCCTCTGGTCTGTGTCCATGAAATTTCCCATATCTGCAGAGAAAAATGAGACCTTTTAAGTTTCAGAAACAACTTTTTTTCTGAGGGGAAGAAGGGTCAGAGATGGAAATAACTATATTTCGCAGTAAAGTCAGCAACATCGTTATACTTAACTACATGACAAGTGGGGCTGAACAGCCGTGCTGACAAGTGCAAACCCGGCTTTGAGTGAGGCAGGAAGCAAAGCCACACATCCACCACAGGCCAGCAGCTTGCTCATCAGCAGAGCCACTCCACCTGACTTACTGCAGTAATACAAGGGCATGTTCTCAACCAATTGTAACATGGAAATAGACTGTCAGAGAGCCTCCCAGTGCCTCATGAAGCAGTATGCTCAAGAACTGCTATAAAATACTTCTGGGCATCTCCCATGTACCAAATCTCTCAAGCTACCCCCTTTCCTGGCTCTTGCTCCCCATGGGTTCTCCTCTTCTTCTTTCTAGGTTAACTGTTTCCCTAAAAGACTGTTTGGGAATAATACTTTGTAACACTGGGAAGACTATTGAGTTCTCTTCTTACCCACCCTCATACTGTTGACTTAATATGGGACAGTCCCTGTTCTACTAGTTAGAAATATTTTTAAAATATGGTCATAAAAGAGTGTGACTCAAGTGGTAGATCACTTGTCTAGCAAAGATAAGACCTTAAGTTCATATTCTATTTGCCAAAAATACAAAATAAAAAGAGGAATAAAACCCAGTCATTGAAATGTAGCCATAAAGGGACACATTTTGAATAAGTAACCTGAAATTTTATAAAAGGTCATTATTATGATCAGATATAGATGAAATGTATATATATAGATCGCAAAACAGCATTTTTAATGTATGTGTGTTTGAGTTTTCCATAAAAGAGCTTAATTATCTATGGCCTTTTCATTAAAAATATTTTAGATATGAAGAGTATAAGACTAAAGAGAAACATGAAACAAACCAATGAAACAAATCAGAAAAATGTCCATGTTACTTTAAAATGGAGCATATCATAAAGGGAAGAAGAAAGCGATGAAGGATAGGAACAGGATAAAAATAATTAAGCAAGAAGTTCCAACTCAATTTTGTAAATTACAGCTTAATATATGATAATAAATTCCAGGACCTGAACACATTCAAATATGACTTAGGTATTGATCTGCACTCTATTTATTATGTTTGCAGCTATTGAATAAAAGTTCTGGAGTATTCTGTAGATAGACTTAGCTGATGACTTCATCATCATCACAATTCAGGAAAATTGATGCCTTTCCAGTGACTTAAAAAACATCAAATTATAGGTAGCATTGGAACCTTGACCAGTCATTAGTACTTATGGTAGAAAGGAAGGTAGGCATTATTTTATAATAATGTGAAGTTACAGGCCATTACTGGGCTTTTGTTGTTAGTTGTGGGACCTGAACTTGGGCCTGGGCACTGTCCCTCAGCGCTTCAGCTCAAGGTGAGTGCTCTACCACTTGAGCCATAGCACCACTTTGGCTTTTTCTGGTTATGTGGTGCTGAGGAATTGAACCCAAGGCCTCATGCATGCAAGGCAAGCACTCTACCACTGAGCCACCTTCCCAGCCCAAATCCTGTCATTATTAAAATAGCACAATCCAACATAGGAACTCCCTGAAGTTCAGGACAAATGAAAGTATAATTTATAATTTCAAAACATTATATTTTTTTGCTTCTTTAGAAAGAAACATTTTGATAGTACATTCAAAATATAATAAAGCAGAAAGTAAGATGAGAGTTCCTCATCAATTCTGTATTTTTTAAAAAACAAACAAACAACTAATGCCTAGGACAAGTTCTCAACTTTCTTCCTCCCAAAGCCTACACTGAAATTCAAGCTCCCTGCATTCTGATAATTCTTGGGTTACTTTAAAAAAGTTTCTTTCTCAGCTCATAGTTCACAAACTTTATAGACCATGATAATGACAATTTTCCTTATAAAGGTTAAAATGTATTTGTGACTTTAACTATCACTACTCCACAATACTGTAATCACCTAATCTCAATGAAAAAAGTTTCTTTCTCCAAATTACATCTGTTCAACAAAGAATAACTCATTAGAATATTAATAACAGCTAGGATATGGAATATGTATGTGCATTCGTAGTTCAGTAGTTAGTTCTTTTTTTTCTAGTTTTTATTATTATTATTATTTCTTGGTCAGTCATGGATCTTGAACACTGGGCCTGGGCACTGTCCCTGAACTCCTGCTCAAGGCTAGTGCTCTACCATTTTAGCTATAGTGTCACTTCTGGTTTTCTGGTGTTTAATTTGAACTAAGAGTCTCACAGACTTTCCTGCACTGGCTGGATTGGAACCATGATCCTCATATCTTAGTTTCTTGAGCAGCCAGGATTATAGGCATGAGGCACCGATCCCTGGCTTGTTTAATTTTTATTAAAATAAATGATACAAAGGAATTTTGTGATTTTTATAACATCTATCTATATAATGTGCTTTGAATCAATTTTACCTCATATATACTACTTTAACTCCTTTCCTTCTTTCCCCTTTTTAATGGTTAATGATGAGTTTCATTATTCTTTCATATGTGTGTGAGTATGTGTGCACAGGTGTGTGTGCATATGTGTGTGTAATGTTTTTCTATAACAAATTATCATTGGATAGAGCTAACTAGGAGTATTTGAAATTTGATCTAAATACAATAAATTTTTATTTAACAAACATTTGAATTACAATATAAAGAAGCTAAGAGCAGCTGATTCATACACTAGAAGCCATCTTATTCCTCTTTGCGTTGGAAAAATTCAGCTTTTTCAGATGGGAAACATAACACCTGTCATCATCTGGGCAACCATGCTAGTGCTCACTCATACCTCACCAATTCTAACAACCATCCCACTTTTACTGAACCAAAGACAAACTCCCCAATTTCTAAAATGGTTAGAGGTTGCTCTGACTCGCTGGACCCACTGCAGTGCTCCTTCCTTTCACACTGGAAGCCCACATACTGTACACATACACGCGACTTGAACTTCGGATTTTCTCTGCAAGAGTGCTCCCATCCTGTTCCGCACCACACAGCGGTAAAAGCCAGCATCAAGCTTCTGTAAAGATGGGATGATATACCTGCAAGATACCAAAAGGAAGTGTCAATGATCCCATCAAGGACAGCACAAGAATCTCTTCTAGTAAGTGCTCTACATATACATTATTTGGGTAACTTAAGATCTATGCAATTCCCCCTAATCAAGGCAATAAGGACCACTGTGTATTGTTCTTTAGATAAATACACTGATATCCATCTCCTCAGCTAGTATGTTGTACTTATCATTGTGCCCAGGTATGTAGCGTGAGTAAAGAAGATATGACTGAATAAATGTTAGAAATGTTAAATAATTAAAGATCATCATATTTAAACTAGACTTTTCAATAAAAACTATTTGCTTTAATTTCCACAAATAATTTTGAAGACTAACAACAGACTTCATATCATTTGCCATGTCACTGTGTGAAAACTCAGCCACCAATCTCATCTGTTAAGATGAGAGACAGGTAGGTGTTTTTAAGCAAAGAAAGCAGAGCACCAGGATATGCCCCTGGCTGTGAACATCAGCTAACATAGTGCATGTAACACCCCCTTTTCTTTCTTCTCCACATTTGGCTTGGCAGAAATTTTATTTTCTCGGACAACAAAAAGTCATTTAAATTGTAGTTTTCATTTCTGTGCCTATAATCATTATTTGCATTCCATCTTTTCTAAAATCTTTAGTATATTTTCATAATGGAAAAGTAACTTAAAGACATGGTTTTTAAGAGCAGTCCAGCTGTAAGTTTGCTTCTAGTTTTGTAACTTAGATATTTTAGGACCCATAAGGCAGGTAGGATATAAAACCAACTATCTCAGGGAAAACTGCAAAGCAGCTGAGCACAATCTTGCAATGCTACCGGAGACTTCTTGGTTCCAGGTTATGTTCATAAACAAATCAAGAATAAGTCTTAAGCAAACTATGTGATCTAGGATTGATACTCCAAATCTATAAAGAACTCCAACAACTCAGGAGCAAGAAAGAAGGCTCAGTTAAAAAATGTAAAATTGTTTAATAGACACTTCTCAAAGGAAGACATGCAAGTGGCCAGTAGGTATATAAAATGTTTTTCAGCATCACTAATTATTAAGAAAGTACAACTCAAAAACACAATGATACATCATTTCATATGCCAGGATGTCTATTAATTTTTTTTAATTTAATTTAATTTTATTTGTAAACATACTGTACAGAGGGGTTACAATTGCATGGGCAGGATAATGCGTACATTTCTTACCAAGCATTGCAGCCTCCTCCTTTGTTTACCCTTCCCAT